GAATGGAACAACACAGTTTTAATGGTAAGCCATACTAGTTATCAGTACAGTTCTTGTGGTAATTACATGTCAATATTGGAAGTATCTCAGATAAATCATCAGTTCTACTCACATATATAACCAAGTAAGAAATGCCTTACTGTATTATGGGCATTCTCATTCGGCTTAGACGGACAAATACTTGCTTTCCACATTATTGTTTGGTAACTTAAGCTGATTAGAATACATAACTAAAGATTCATTTACCAATATTGACATGATTGCATAACATATATGTGTATACAAATAAATAAAAATATAAAAAACAAAATGAGGAAAGAAGTATCATGTAAATAAATATAATTCAAAGAGTACACATAAAAATCAAAAATTGAACATAAAATTTCCAAAATATAATAGTAAAAAAAAAAAAGAATCCTTATTCTAGGTGCAACTATTCGCACCCCAAAAGATAATAAGCACACATCAAATTATAAATACACCCCAAGAACCACAAGCTTGTAGCTCAAGTTATATTGTTCATTCTTAAAGAATGTTGTAATGGCAGATTACAAAGTTCAATCCTCTAATTGATATTCACTCCCTATCAGGCCCCCGGTAACCTATTAAAAGAAATAAGTACACCCAAAGATTAGAATTTCTCCCCGAGAACCAATTGCACTATTCCCAATGTCGGGGAAAGGGACCAATTCAAGAACTATGATTGCAAGCTTTCTTCTATTTTTTTGACCTTTTTTTTCTATATTTCAGCATCTCTTATTATCTGGTTAGAGTTTCGTTTCAAGTAACAATTGTTGCTGGTCTAACTAAATTGGCGAAGAAGTTGGTATTCATTTTAACTTTTAAGGCTTTGTTATATATGTCTGCATTAACATATGTATAAACCTACATTTGCGAAACAAATGAATATATTTGTACATAAACTAATAACCTACCACAATTTTGTACTAAAGAGTATATCAGAGACCAACCTGGCCTCCTGTTTCTTCAATTAGAGTGTCCAAAAAGATCTTTGACAGCTCCCAAAGCTCTGCTTGGGCCCCTTCATTATCAAGGAACTGCAACTGTGGAATTAATAGCTCTACCTACAGAGCAAAAAATCACATGCTACGACATTTGATAAGCAAAATGACAAGAACGAATAAGACTAAGACAATATGTTTTAGGTTCAAAGATGTCGCATGTGCTTGTCTAGAACCTGGAAACCTTGCTCTTGACATAGTTGCAGCAAGCCCTTGACTATCTTCACTCGCAACATAGCAACTCAAACAAATTAAAAGGACTCATATACTCACTATAGCTCTCATTCCTCCTGAAGAAATAAACTCCGCACTTGCTTGGCCTGATTGATGCACTGCACCCTCCAAATCAGAAGGCAGGCAACTGAAACATAAATCAAATTAAATATACAGTATATAACTGTGGAAAATATTTAAGGATAGATATAAGTAGTTACAACTACATGAAAAAAAATGATTAACTCACACATTAAAAAAAAAAAAAAAAGAAAGAGAAAAAGAAGAAGTAGAAGAATTTCATACATGTGGAAATTGTTTTTTCATTTCACTTAGCGAAAGAAAAAATCAACAAGATTCTCTCTATTTATTGATAATAGAAAGACGTAAGACTTTGCATGCTTTAGTGGTTATATTACATCAATGTCGCAAACGAGAGTTGTCCTCGCTATAGAAACATATAGAATTTTCAGTTTATTACTTTATTTCTCCGATTCATATTGGAAACAACAACCTGACGGGTCGCTGTGGAAACAACCTCCTTGTAATTTACAAGGGTAAGGTCTGCGTACAACTGACCCCCCAGACCCCAACCTGTTTGGGAATATACTGGGTATGTTGATGTTGATGTTGATGAACTAAGCATATTTCACAAAAAAGCTGAAATTCTTTTAACCCAGATCAGGTGTACATAATCTTGCAGTTATTCAACTCAGATTCAGTACGGCTGAATGACCGATGGTTTGATGTAATTTTCGCAACTATGGAATGTAAACCAAAAGTAAGTGCATTATTCTACATTTCAGATAGCATTATGAAGTATTACCCTCACCTTCTCCCTCTCCCTCTCCCTCTCCCTCTCATATTCTTCGAAGGAGATTTCAAGCTTAAGACTAGTTTAGTGACAAATTGTTGCATACAGCTTCTTAAGCTGAAAATAGTTTTTTTCATGATGAAGGAGATATTACATCTCGTCTATAGCTCGGTTACAGAATGTGGCAAATACCTCATGCTCGGTTACAGAATGTACCTAATAGTTGTCTCAGCTGTGTGAATTGTAAATTTCATTTAAACAATGTAAACCAAAAAGAGAATAGCTAGCACGAACAAGTCATGTAAGCAAATAAAATCCACAGCAGTCATGCTATTTTAGTGTAGATTATCCTCATTCTTTGGCATGATCCTTCTTTATCTTTAGAAGGAATCAAGAAAATTGTCCAATACATAATTTTCCACTTAACAGTCATCATCAGTCGCAGTGTGTCAAGCAATGAACTTGAATTCAATAACAGGCAAAGCATCTTAGCAGTAACACAACAAAACAACAAAACGAGACTGAGAGTTTTAGCTGCAGAAGTGAACAACTGAAATCGAATTAATGTCCAAACCTGTCATCCTCTTCAAATTCTTCGACTTGTTGTGGATTATCTTGTTCAAAATTGTCCCGGCCGCCTTGAAATTTATCAAACTTGGCAAGTGTTGTTGAGCCGTAAACAGATCTGAGGCGTGAAAATCCATCGAACCCACAGGCTTTGGAACGATACAGATTTGACGAGCAATGGGTGACGAAGAAGGATAGTCTTCTAGGAACTGAGGCCGCTAGCGTTGGGATCGGATATGTTGCAGAGGCCATCTTACTGTAATCCACCAAAATACAAAATACAACACAAATAAATGTGGTGAATACTCAATGATGCCACATTGTCGCCTCATAAAAGAGAGAGGTTATCAATACGTTTTTACTTGGGTGGCCAACAAGTGCTACAAGGGTGAGGAAGATTATGTATTGTGAATTTGAATGTGTTAACTCTATTTATCTTAATCTTCCCGTGTCTAAGATATAATGATCCGTCATGCACCGACGGGTTGCGGTGAGCTCGCCTCGCTGGAGGTTGCATCTATCACGTCCTCACTTGTCCAGGCTCGTTCTCGATCTTTCGAGTTAGTTGATAAATATACCAAATAATTACATAACTTGATTTGTAACTCACGCAGGACGTACATAAATGATTCTAATAAAATGATAAACTATGTGGTGTCCCAACGCGCGTTTAAAATAATACAAATATAAATTAGAGATTTAGTCCTCTAATTGGTACCTATTTGAGGTTTAGTCCTGTAAGTGACCCACTTTTAGAAAACATCCCGTAACTGCCAAAAATCGTGAGAAATGGTCCTGCTACTGGCAAATGCAAGTCACTTTTACCGGGTAGTCTATGTGGAATTTTGATTTTTTTTTTTTTTTTTGGGCTGAGTTGTAAGCCACGTGTAATATGTGGCATAATTACAAAAAATTTGGGGAGGAGGGGGTTCGAACCCGCGTGGATAGGATAAGCAAGTGGCTCATGAGCCACTTAACCTAACATAACTTATGTTAACTATTTGGCTTCACTTATATATCTATCAAAAACGCTTTATCCAAATATATATATATATATAAATATATAATTTAATTCATATTATTTTTAATACTAAAACTAATTTAATAATATACATATATATTGTACCACAAAATAATATATATATATATATTATTTAAATTATAAAACTTTTAATTATAAAACTAATACATAATTATAAATGCACGATATATTATAATTATTAAATAATACATTATATGTATTATTAAAAATTTTATTAGTTAAATAAATATTTTCTAATTAAATAAATCTATTAAATATAAATTAATAAATATATTCAATAATATAATGTTATTAAAGGTTGTTGATATTGAATTAGTGTATAAAAAATAAATAATCACTTATATTGTTTTTTGAATAAATATTTAATATATTTAATTCAATTTAATTTTTATATTATATAAATATTTAATAAATAAATTAATATATAATATAATTTAATAAATAAGTATATTAGATAATAAAATATAATAAATTTGTTTAATATCATAATAAAAAATTAAATATTTATTAAATATAAATATATTCAATAATATAATTAATACATATATTAAATATAAGTTAAATTAAAATAAGATAAATAAAGTAATTTAATAAAAGTTTTATTAAAAAATACTATATTTAGTATTTATTTTAGTTTCACTAAATAAATAACTAAATAATAACATTTTATTTTATTACTAATTATATGTATACTTAATTATAGTTTATTGTATTATATAGTTTAATATAAATATTAATTACGAACTAAAACAAAAGAAAAATAAATAAACAACAAAATACATTATACTATATTTTGCAATTATATACTTTATTTAATTATAGTTTATTGTATTATGTATTATTTACTATATTTAGTATTTATTTTATTTTTAATTATTTAAATAAAGGTAATATTATATTATTTAATATATTTATTTATTCATATAATAAATGAGAAAATAATATAATATAATTTAATATATTTATTTATTAATATACATATTTAATAAATTATATAATATATTTAGTTATTTAATAAATATTTAATTAATATATAAAAATGAATAATATATATAAATTATATAATAAATTGTGTATAATTTTCTAATTACGAGTAGTATAAATTGAATAATTTATATATATTTATAAAAAAAATACTTTATTATTAAATATAATCTTGTATTTATATAATAAATAAAAGTAAATTGTAGTATTAAATATATTTATTTATTAATTTATATTATAAATTATTTAATATATTTATTTATTTAGAAAATATTATTTAATTAATAATAAATTAATGATATATATTATGTTTTTTATAATTATTAATAAATTCTAGATTTGTTTTAAAAATAATTAATATATTATGTATTTGTTTTAATAATTATTTAATATATATATTTTGTTTTTTGATAAAATATTTTTTGCTAGATACATATTTAAATAATATATATATATAGATATAGATATATATTTGGATAAAACTTTTTTGATAGATATATAAGTGAATCTAAATATTTAACATAAGTTATGTTAGGTCAAGTGGCTCATGAGCCACTTGCATGGCCTATCCACGCGGGTTCGATTCCTCTCCTCCGCAAATTTTTTGTAATTATGCCACATATTCCACGTGGCTTACAACTCAGCAAAAAAAAAAAAAAAAAAGAATTCCATGTAGACTACCCGGTAAAAGTGACCTGCATTTGCCGGTGGCAGGACCATTTCTCACGATTTTTGGCACTTACGGGATGTTTTCGAAAATTGGGTCACTTACCGAACTAAACCTCAAATAGGTACCAATTAAAGGACTAAATCTCTCATTTTTCCAATAATACAACCATTCACAACTCAAAAAATCTCCGACATGTTCGAGGTTTTTTAAAAAAGCAAAACATACATGCATAAATAAAACACATACATACAAGTCGTAATAGTAGGATAAATAAAAAATACAAACTTTGCAATTATTTTAGTGTATGCTATTATGCGTTGCGCATGTACACAATTATTTTAGTGTATGTTCACATAATTCTAATTCGAAGTGTACACGCAAGCCGCATTAGCCGGGCTGTGATACTAGTTGTTGG